TCTGAAAACATTCTTTGGCATCTAGGTTAGAAGAGGCCTTTCTTTTATTTTTTTCCCATGGAACCCAGATCTCCTCCTTTCTGGCACTTACCACAGATTTTTTAATCACCTATTTTATTTGTTTACCTGACCAACACGTATCTCTCTCCTGAGGACAGGACTGTGTCTACGGTTGCTGTGCATAGTATAGCGCCTATGGCATGAGATTCTCAGTATACATTTGGTGACAGGACCCACGAATGAATTTCCTCCCACCCACTCTCCCCATTTCATAAGCCCTGACAATGCAGGGTCACCTCAAAACAAACAGGGCAGGGCAGGACAACTTGTCATCACTTCCATAGGAACATCCATCATCTGCTGGGCCTTGAACTCTGGCTGTCAGAAGACTCCACTCAGACCATGGCTGTCTCAGGAAAGGGTGCAGTGAATCTCACACATGTCAGGCTCTGCCCCATTTGGGGTGGTAGAGATACATAGGTATAAATTAACATGATTCTAAGACACAGTCCCTCCTGTTTGGTGGGTCAGTGTCTGTATTTCCGATTGACCCTCCCCTGACAAATTTAAGATAAGATTGATTTTGTCTGTTTCTTCTTCTTCAAATTAACAAAATTTACCCTCAATTTGCTTAAAAGGAGGGAAGAAAGCCTGTTTCTAATTTGTTCTGATCCATTTATTAAATGTAATCATACAGTAAAAAAAATTCAGAGATGTTAAAAACAGCAGGAAAATATTAAACTTTCAGTGTACAAAGCTTGAATCATAAAATATGTTTCATGGGGCTCTTACTGAAATGGGACACAACCTTAATGACATTCACAATTACTTGCTAAGAGACTCGATGTAACCCAGAAGGCAGAGATAGAGTAACACATCTACCCAGTGTGCTCTTTCTTCATGGAGACCTGACTCTGGGCTGCATCACCCCCTGAGGATTCTGTTGGCTTTGGGAGCGTGGAGTTTAGAGTTCCCTCTGTCTATTCTACATTTCTTTTTTTAATTAAGAGTGAAATAAGCTAATGGAAAATATTATTCACTTTCGGGGGGATGAAACCTGCTTCTTCCTCACATCCCTTTTTTTTCTCATCTGCTCCCCTACCCCAACGAAAAATGTATAAGCAAATGTCCATCCTTAGGAGTCCAATGTGGAAAAAAGAAAACGGGACTACCATTTCATTTCCCAAGGTGCTGTTGAGCGCTTTGTAATAATGGCTTAGAGAAGGATTTCCCTAGACCCCAGAGGATTTACTCATGTTAGAGAAGCAGTTCGCATTGATTTATCTCCGTGTATGTGTGAGCGCGTGCACCCGCGCCCTGTATTAGTCCGCGCAGACTGCCATAACAAAGTATCTCCGACTGAGGGCCTTAAAAACCAGAAATTTATTTTCTCACAGTTCTGGAGGCCAAAAGTCCAACATCAGGTGTTGGCAGGGTCGGTTTCTTCTGAGGCTTCTCTCTTTGGTTTGTAGATGATCGTCTTCTCCTCCCTGTGTCTTTACGTGGTCTTCCTTCTTTGTGTGTCTGCGCACCAGTGTCCTCTGCTTAGAAAGACACCTGGAAATGCTATAAAAAAATAAACTGAGGTAAAGAGATGGGGAGATAGGGTGGCGGGTGGGGCAGCTATTTTAGACATAAGGACCAGGGATGGCCTCTCCGCAGTGGGAACTTTGGACCAGAGACAGAAATGAGAGGGGGCATTGCTCCAGACAGGGGGAAGAGCATTGCAAAACCCCAGGCGAGTGGGCAAGGAGCAGAGAAAACCTCAGTGACCCTCAATTTTCTCATCCCCAAACAGGGGTGCTGAGATGTTGTTGTGAAGGGTGGAAATGAAATATCGGATGTACACATAACATAGAATTGGTCCTCAGTAATGACCATGACGGTCTCTTTTCTTGGCACATCCTGTAGTGCTGGTTTATAAAGCCTTGGGAAGGTAACAAGTGCTGGGTTGTGACCTGATGTGGAAAGTGTCTCAGGCTGCAGAGCTCAGGACTGCCCCTCAGCTTGCCACCCATGGGTGCTGTGGGTGCCTATGAGGTTAACATATTTCCTCTTTCCCCAAATCCAGCACTCTTACTTTCCTGTCTTGCTCACCTGGTTCTGGCTTTCCTCACACCCGACTCACTCCTCAGTCTTCTCTAACTGCAACATGTTCAGTCATGTTCCTCCTCCCTCCAGAACACTCCATGGCTCCCTTCCCCCAGATCTGCCCTTCTGGTTTCTCAGTCCCTCCCCACTTTCCTCCTCCCAACACTTACCTCTGTCCTCCCAATCTCAGCTCCTATTCCAAGCCTTTTTCTTGGCGTCTCTCTTTCCCAGGCACCCATTTATCTCCCACATCGTGAGATTACAGATGACTTTTTTTTTTTTCTGTTGGTTTTTCTCAGTGTTCTCATTTTTAAAAATAATGCTTTGCTTATGTATTGCTTTTAGTAATTAATTTAAAAATCCAAGTTCAATTTTAATTAGAAAATCTCTCTCTCTCTCTCACACACACACACACACACACAGTGTTTATAATCATTTGTCCACCAAAGAATTCAGGGATCTGAATCTAGAATTTAAGTCCCTCAAGAAGATGGCTGCAGGTTTGCATTCAGTAACTCTCTATGTTATGTCTTTCTCTAAACTTGTGCGCACATTCACACACAACACAGATACCTAGGACTTGTTGAACCTTGTTAGTTTCTCAATGGGTCACCCCAGATATTTCAAAGATTTAGATTTTTATGAGGATGGGCCTCTCTGGCCTATTTTAAGGAAATTAGATTGTAACTATGCCCTTGGTAGTTTCAGGAGATTGGAAGCAATGGGCTGGCCACAGCCGTGTCTTGCACGTGGTTGGCTTTGGGTTTTCTCTTGGCTGTTTCCTTTTCAGCTGTCTGCAAGCTCTGCAAGGGCTGTGAGCCTTGTACATCAGCTGGGTCTGGGCCCTGGAGAGTCTGGAATCATCGGGAAAGCAATTATGTGGTTTTACTCGACTTTCAAACATGAAGAAGGGTTCAAAGTTGAGTTTCGCCATCTAGAAGAGAAATAAATTACATTGCATTGGAAGAGCTAACATAAGATAGAGCATCTGTATGTTCACAGAACTTTCTTGCCCATTTTTTGAGAGACTGTTGTTATTCATTTGCTGATTTTGCTGTGTTTTGAGTAGATTATCTCTCAGGTCATTTTAAAGCCCTGGCGGCCTGGTTTCCCCCCGGGGCAGAGTGTGAACAAATTCAGAAGCCTCAGAGAACAAGAACCTGACACTCCTACCCCTACTGGGGGAGACCAGAGCAAAATGTTGAAAGAAAAAGTATTTTGTTTCTTCAAAATCTTTATTTTGAGCACTTAGCAGCTATGCCCCTTGAGTATGAATGCTTCTTCCCAACACCGAGGTGGTGTCTGGAGTGTTAATCTTTTCCACACCAGAACTTGATGATTCAAGAACATTCCAACATAGCTCTCAAGCCTCCCTTTCCTCATCTGTAAGATGGGGTGATGCGTACCTCATATGGCAGTTGTAAGAATGAAGAGGATTACGTGGATTAACAAGTGAGGTTTGGGTAAAGCACCCAGTCCAGAATCTGGCTTGTGGTAGGTACTCGATCAATGGTAGCACAACGATGATGAAAATGAGTCAGCTATGGCCTTGCGGTGGGGAAACGCTCTAGGGCCTGGTCACATTCAGTCAGAACCTAATTTCATGTGGTCTGCCTGTGGGGCGGGTTTAACCCTGTGGTTATGGGGCAGGGTTGGAGGAGGTTGGAAATGTTACTGATTTATTTTTCCATACATACAGCCTGTTTACATTTACAAAACTAATTAAGCATTCCTGAAGATAAGAACACTGCGCAGTTTGGCTGCCCAGACTGCCGCCATGCTGATCTGGGTAGTGGGGAGAGAAGGTAGGGGCATCAGAGGAAGGCTCTTGGGCCAGGAAGCACTGATGCTCAGGTCCCCGGAAGTGCTGGCTTCTCTGACTCAAGTGGCCATTTTCAGAAATAAAGGCAGTCCCCTAAGGCATTAAGGTACCTTGAAATTGCAGTGCCTGGCTGCACATGGGAGCACCCTTCTGTGAGGCTCCGTGTGGCTTGAAAATTTGAGTGGGGGGGTGCTAAATCTTGTCATTCCCTCTTCAGAGCTGCATTGCTAACTGCAAATACTCCTGGGAGAAGTAGCATGACAGTCACCTCTCATATAACTTACTTAGGCAGGATTGATTTGTGGAAGCAGATTTGGAGAGTGGGAAAGATCCTGGGGATTTAATGGGGAGAGCAACGAACTGGAAGAAATACAGCGCTGGGGCCTTCAGAAGGGGAAGGGCCCGAGGCCAAACAAAGGCAAACTTTGCGGCTCCACATTTTGCCTGGGGCTGATCGACTTTCTCTTGAGCAGCTGCTTCTCCCAGTTTGTGTGCGGAAATACTGTCAACACTTTGAAAATGAGCAGCAGGCTACTGCCATTTAAATAAGGATTTCAGGAAGTAAAAAAAAAAAGAAAAAGAAAAAAACTAGCTGGAAACTGGAGTGTGGATTTATGATGCAAAGTATATAATGATATTAACATGCAGAGTGGCAATTTAGGATTTTATGTTGTGTCCCAAGAACCAGGTATATTTGCTAATTTTGAAAGGGCGGGGGTGGGGGAAGCATCATTCGCCTGCATATTTTAGGGCGTAATCACTAATTTCTTGACATTTATTAGAATTCATAAGATTTGGAAGAGAGAAAAAAAATCAGCACAATTTGTTAAATATTTTGGAAAAACGTGACATGACTGTTTTCAAATGTTTTTACTAATAATGAAGGCAAATCCACAATAATATTTATGGATCAAAAGCAAGTGTGATGGTTCAAAATTCTTAGAATGGTTATTTGGGCAGGAAAACTATAGTTATTTTATTCTTTTCCATTTTCTGTATTTTTGTTTAATTTCAAAGAAAATGTTAGTCCTTTATAATAGTAGAATTGCAAATTTGAAATATGTTTCTTTTCTTTTTTCTGCAATAGGGTTACATGATGGAAAACCGAATCTCAGGCCTAAAATGCGACACAGATGTGTTTGTGACTTTTGAAGGTGACAATGTTGTTATGCTGCAGGTAAAATTCAGGAAATGTTTATTCTTCTTAAATGGCATACTTTTCAAGATCAAGAGTTATCCAGAAATCTGAAGTGTTTCATATGTTTTATCTTCATCTGATGTCTTCATTTAATTGGCAGGTGTTTTCCTGTTAAGCACTTGATTTTTGCAGTAGTGGAACAGGAGATTAAATTCTTTCTCTCCTAGCTGATCTTTGACATTGACCCATATCTTCTTTGGTTGAAGAAAACTTCTTCTTGTACCTATTTAGTCAGATTCTTCTACTGGCTATTCCAAAAGAATACTTGAAGACCCAGAAGATGAACAGGCAAAAGACATGAAAAGGCAGGTTATAAAAGAAGGGCAATCGATCAACCTCCCTGGTGATCAGAGACATGCACATGAGGGCATACTACACTACTGTTTTCTGCATCAAATTGGCTCATGTTTAAGAGCATATTGAAGTCCCAGTGTTGGTGAGAACAAAAGAGGCACTCTTCCATGTTGCTATTAGGCTGTGTGTGATTCCACTTCTGGGACTATCTAAGGTAATAATCCTAAATATGGAAAACCTTTAGGGCACAAATGTTTTCATTAGTATATTATTTATTATAGCAATAATGTTGGAATCTAAATTTTCAACAATAGGAAAATGATTATGTAAATCATGTTCTGGCCACTCAGTGGGGAATTATATAGCTTTTTAAATTGTACTTACAAAGAGTTTATTACAGAAATTAAAAACTTATGATATGGTAAGTAAAAATGATATAAAATTATATATACAATGGGGTCACAATTTGGTGTTCTTACAAAAGAAAAACAGGGACTTGTGGTTCTGCTAAGATGGAATGACCCTATTCCTCCCAGGTCCTCCCTCTTAATAACTGAACACTCTGGACATAACACAACAAACGAGCATAGGAAGACTCTGAAAGGGAGAAAGAAGAAGGCAGGCTGCCTAGGGACCTTGGAACTGGAGGAAGGGAAAGGCAGTAAGTTGTCTGGGTTTCCTTATTGCCCTCTATAAAACCCTGGATAAGGGCATATATGTATGCCCTGAATCTCTAATAGGTACAGACAAACTCCAAGAAAAGCCTGTTCTCCCTAGCCAAAACACAGGGAAAATGGTGGCCTAATAACAAAAAAACCTTTCTAGCAATACTCTCTCTCTCTACATCAGTCAAACAAAATGGAAAAACTGAACACACACACACGCACGCACACACACACGCACGCACACACACACATACCAGTTTCAGCAGGACCTGGCAGGAACTGATCTTTCACCTGACTTCTGATCCATGGAAGTAGTCAGAAGCAGGTAGCAGGTGGTAACATTCCCATTACTCAACCTGGTGCTATTGGTGGGGCCAAGCAGAGAACTAATCTTCTATCCCCTGCCTAGTGGCAGCAAGTGGAGCTTAGATTTTTACATCAGGGTAATGTCAGCAGGGCCCATTGGTAAGCTAAGTCTACACCTGTCCTCAGCAGCAACAAGACCCTTTGAAGTGATATAAGGTGCAACAAATCACCAGTTTGCTTAAATCCTTTCACCCCAGTGTCAGCAGGATCCAGTGGAGAGTTGAGCGCCTACCTCCACAACTGGAATGGGGGTCATCAACTAGACTAATCCAGGAGGTATGATAAAAAAAACCAAGAAGACTCAAATAACCAATATTAGGAATGAAAATGGGTATATCACTAGTTATCTTGTAGGAACAATGAAGGAACACTAGAAAATAACTTTACATTAATAAATTTGATGACTTAGTCAAATCGACCAATTCCTCAAAACCACAAACACTCAAATCTAACCAACTTGAATAGTCAACCTGAATAGTCCTATCATCTCAGAGAAATTGAATTTTTAATAATAATAAAATGCTTCCCCCAAAGAAATCTCCAGGCCAAGGTTTCATTGGAGAATTCTATCAGACACTTAAGGAAGACCTTTATGTAATCTCTTCCACAAAATAGGAGAGAAGGGAACACTTCCCAACTCATTTTTTAATTTTTATTTTAATTTTTTTTAAGAGAGAGAGAGAGAGTGCATGAGTGGGTTCAGGGACAGAGGGAGAGAGAGAATCTTAAGCAGGCTCCATGCCCAGCATGGAGCCCGATGTGGGACTCGATCTCATGACCCTGAGATCATGACTTGAGCTGAAATCAAGAGTTGAATGTTTAACCAGCTTGAGCCACCCAGATGACCCTAATTCATTTTATATAGTTTGTATTACTCTGATACCAAAAGTAGACACTACAAAAAAGGGAAAGCTACATACCAATAACTCTTGTAAATTTAGACATAAGAATCTTCAACAACATACTAACAAATTGAATCTGACAGTGTATAAAATGAATTATACACCATAGCCAAATGGTATTTATTTCTGATATGCAAGACTGCTTCAGCATTCAAAAATCAGTTGATATAGTCCATCATATCATCAGACTACAGGAGAAAAAAATCATATGATCATATTGGTTTACACAATTAAAGCTTTTGACAAAATGTTGATGTAAAATCTTCAACTTGGTAAAAAGTACCTACAAAAAATATAACTAACATCATGCTTACTAATAAAATGTGGAAGTCAAGGATGTCCACTGGCACTACTGTTATTCAACATAGAGCTGGAAGTTATATCAGTGCAATAAGGCAAGAAAAAGAAATAAAAGACATGGATATTATAAGGGAAGAAATAAAAACTTTCCTTGTTTGCACATTATGTGATTATCTACATAGAAAAATCCATGGGGTCTACCCAAAGCTCCTAGAACTGATCTCAGTAAGACAGCAGGATATAAGATCAATACACAAAAATTGATCTTATTTCTGTATACTAATAACAAATGTGAAAACTGAAATTAAATACACAATATCATTTACAATTGTTCCAAAGAAAATGACATACTTAGGTGTAAATCCAATAGACATGCATAGGATCTATATGCTGAAAATTACAAAATGCTTGAAAGAAATCAAAAAAATCCTAGATAAATGGAGAGACATACTATATTCATCAATTGGATGACTCTGTAGGAAAATGTCAATTCTGCCCAAACTGTTCTATAGATTTAATAAAATTTCCATCAAAATCACAACAAAGTTTTCTGTAGACACAGACAAGCTTCTTCTAAGACATCATCAAAATGGTGAAATAGGAGTTTTCTGCCATCTTATGCCCAAAGAACTCCAATTCTGATAATCACCCGAGGATGACAGTGCCTTTGTGTAGGTCCAGGAGTCCCGTGAAGTTCCAGCACACTGTTGGAGCAAAAAATAATGAGATTGGATGCATTGAAGAGGGTAAAAGGAACAGTTTCACTTTACATAGTTTTCACTTTACATGTCAGCCCTCCCTCAAGACAGCACAGCTCAGTGACAAGAGAGATCTTTCGGCATGTGATTTCTCCCACAGGGGAAAGTGAGAGCATGTGAGTGAGCACCCAGCTTCCCCAGCTGTGTGGGACACTGCCCAAGAGGCCCATTTCTTTCTCCTCTCACTCAGATTTCTGAGGTGTGTTGCATGACGCGAAGTATAAGGAGCAGCTGGGAGAATAGCAGCCAGGGCTCTCAGAAGACAGTGATTGGACATGGATCCTTCTAACTGCTTTGCAGACTCCTCAGGAAACCCACTTATGAGCCCCTGGGGACACCTCACCTACAGATCCTCCATGTTGGTCCACAGGCACCCACAATACTCTACATGCCTCAGTCACACACGTCACTACTCCACAACCAATTATCAGTGTACACTCCCAGCAAGAGCTAGCCTTTGTAGATAGCTAGTGAGCACATAAAGAAAGCCAACCCGCCTCTGTGGGATTGGAGGAAAGCATACAAACTTGAGCATTCAGTACCACCCTAGGGGAAGTAAACAAGAAGCTGCAAGCACTAATCCTGGTTTTGTAGGATCAAAAGAAGTTATACAATCTTAAGAACTATTCCCTAAGAGGGAATAAGAATTGTGGAACATGTGTATCCACTGAAGGTCTGAGAAAGCCTCAGAATTCATACAGGGCTGATGGAAGGTATTTCTTTCCTAAAGCCAGTCAGTAAAGACTAGAGGAGGTGACTGCTTCTTCAAATGTGAAGATAGCAATGCAAGACTTCAAGGAACATGAGAAATGAAGGAAACATGACACCACCAAAGGGAAACAATGATTTTCTAGTAACCCCAAAGAAATGGAGATCTGCAATTTTCCCAATAAACAATTCAAAATAATTCTTTTAAGGAAGCTCAGTGAGCTACAAGAAAACACAGAAAGATAATTCAATAAAAGTAGGAAAGCAATACATGAAAAAAATGAGAATTTTCACAAAGAAATAGAAATCATTAAAAAGAATCAAATAAGGGTGCCTGGGTGACTCAGTCAGTTGGGCGTTTGCCTTCGGCTAAGGTCATGATCCCAGGGTCCTGGGATCGAGCCCCACATTGGGCTCCCTGCTCAGTGGGGAGCCTGCTTCTCCCTCTCCCCCCTGTTCGTGCTCTCTCTCTTGCTATTACTCTCTCTCTCAAATAAATAAATAAAATCTTAAAAAAAGAATCAAATAGGAATTATGAAGTTGAGGAGTACAATGAGTGAAATGAAAGATGCAATAGAGAACATCAATAACAGACCTGATCGAGCAGAAAATGAATTTGTGAAGGAGAATAGAGGTCATTTGGTATTATCCAGTCAGAGGACAACAAAGAAAAAAAGAAGGAAAAAGAGTGAAGAAAGCCTTCATGAACTATAGAATACCATTAAGAAAAGCAATCTATGCATATGGAATCTCAGAAGGAGAAGAGAGGGAGAAAGGGTTAGGAAGTTTTTATTAAAGAAATAATGGTTGAGAATGTCCTGACTCTGGGGAGAGATTTGGATATCCAAATTCATGAAGCTCATAAGTCCTCCAAGGCTTTCTTTTCAACTCAAAAAGATCTTCTTCAATGTATATTATAACAAAACAGTCTAAAATAAAAGACAATGAACTTTAAAAACAGCAAGAGAAAAAAATTCCTCAAATAC